AGACCCTGGGATCACTGTGGGACCCTGGGATCACTCCTGGACCCTGGGATCGCCATGGGACACTGGGATCACTGTGGGACCCTGGGATCAACATGAGACCCTGGGATTGTTGTGGGACCCTGGGATCAACGTGAGACCCTGGGATCGCTGTGGGACAATGAGATCACCACGGGACCCCGGGATCACTGTGGGACCCTGGGATCACTCCTGGACCCTGGGATCGCCATGGGACACTGGGATCACTGTGGGACCCTGGGATCAATGTGGGACTCCAGGATGGCTGTAGGACCCTGGGATCACTCCTGGACCCTGGGATCACTGTGGGACACTGGGATCACAGTGGGACCCTGGGATTGCTGTGGGACCCTGGGATCAACGTGAGACCCTGGGATCACTGTGGGACCCTGGGATCGCTGTGGGACCTTGGGATCGCTGTGGGATCCTGGGATCAACGTGAGACCCTGGGATCACTGTGGGACCCTGGGATTGCTGTGGGATCCTGGGATTAACGTGAGACCCCGGGATCGCTGTGGAACCCTGGGATCAATGTGAGACCCTGGGATCACTGTGGGACCCTGGGATCACTGTGGGACCCTGGGATTAACGTGAGACCCTGGGATCGCTATGGGACCCTGGGATCACTCCTGGACCCTGGGATCACCATGGGACACTGGGATCACCACAGGACCCTTGGATCACTGTGGGACATTGGGATCACTGCGGGACCCTGGGATCACTCCTGGACCCTGGGATCACTGCGTGACACTGGGATCACTGCAGGACCCTGGGATCTCTGTGGGACCCCGGGATCAACATGAGACCCTGGGATTATTGTGGGACCCTGGGATCAACGTGAGACCCTGGGATCACTGTGGGACCTTGGGATTGCTGTGGGATCCTGGGATCAATGTGAGGCCCTGGGATCACTGTGGGACACTGGGACCACCATGGGATTCTGGGATCACTGTGGGACCCTGGGATCACTCCTGGACCCTGGGATCGCCATGGGACACTGGGATCACCACGGGACCCTTGGATCACTGTGGGACACTGGGATCACTGCGGGACCCTGGGATCGCTGTGGGACCCTGGAATTGTTTCCTGACCCTGGGATCACTGCAGGACCCTGGGATCACAGTGGGATCCTGGGATTGCTGTGGGACCCTGAGCACGCAGATCTGGGACCAGCACGTAGGGCAGACCAGGATCCATCCCGCCCGGTCCCCAGGGGCTGTGGGATGGGGTGACATCAGGGACGCGCTGGGGATGAAACGTCACAGCGAAGCGAAACCCTCGGGTGTCCTGGCAGGGCTCTCCTTCCTAATCGTCCTTATTTGCCCAGGCCTAATTCATAAATCAGCAGGCGCGAGTAATTTCCCCAGGAGAGCGTTTAGACGGGAGATTGAATGAGTAATTTACTGGGAACATTAAGACGGCACCAGATAACTTATTTATGAGAACTTTTTGACAGATCTGCCACTCAATAATTTATGCCGCGCAGCATTTAGTCAGGGTCACCAGTAAATAATTCACTTATTATAAACTATAGAAGGTTTTATGAGACGCTGAATTATTATCTCGCACCGGATTCGGGGCCGTAAGTGTGAAACCGATGATGCCCCCCGGTAACGGAGGTGTCCCTGGATGGGGTGTGCTGAGACCCGACGCTCGGTGCAGGGGTGTCTTTTGGTCCTGCCCAGGTGCTGGGGGGCTGCTGGTCTCCCCCCGCCTCCATGGGCTGTGGTGGCCTTTGGGAGGAAGAGTCGTTGCCCCATTTTTGGGGCAGTTTCATGTGCAAGAGATGAGGAAACCGGGTTTCACGTCGCATCCCTGAGGGACTTTATTTCCCCCTGGGGAAACTGAGGCAGGGGACACCCTCCCCACCCCGAGTCCAGGCTCCTCACCACCATGGGGATGGTCCCCGTGGAGCGGTGATGCCGGGGGGCTCGCACCCCATGGGGCCCCCCTGAGCTTCCCCTGGCTTCGTGGCTTTGTCCCTGGTCACGACGTGGACGGCGACCACCAGAATCAGCAGTGGCCCGAAGATGGTGGCCACCAGCCACCCCTTCACCACGCAGTAGTGGTCCCACACCCCGCACCTCCCCGTCCCCCCTCCGCCTCCTGGGGGCTGCCCCCCACCTTCACCCTGGGTGGTGGCATCTCCAGCACAGGGCTCGGTTGTCCCCCAGGGTCCCACCGTGCTCCCGTTGTGTCTTCTGCTGTCACCGGTCCCGGTTGAGCCATCTGTGGACACAGGGCATGGCGTGAGTCACGGGGCCACCAGCTACTTTGGGGACAGGGGACGTTGTGGGGGGGTGTCTGGGTGCCACCGAGGCCGGGTGCAGCGAGTGCATCAAAAGAGGAAGGAGAATTTCTCCACCAACCACATGCCCATCCTGGGCTCCTCCCCACAGTTAAGGGGGGGGGAAACGGTGGGATGGGTGGGGTTGGGACTGGGGACCCCCCCGCAGTGACAGCCCACCCCCCTTGGGGACACTCTGAACCCAAGCCCGGTTCCTCCATGACCCTCCTCCCTCCATCCTTGGACTCACCATAAACCAGCAAGAAGTAGGAAAAGGTTTTCGGGTTGGTGGGGTCGGAAAAGGTGTCCACCACCACGTTGTAAAACCCGCTGTCCTCCAGCTCCAGGGGTCCCATCTCCAGGGAGAGGTTGGTGGGGTGGATGAGGAGCCGCCCTCGGAAGCGGGGCAGGTAGTCGACGGTGAACACCTTCTGCTTGGGCTTGGCCTCGGCGATGTGGGTCTCCTGGGTCCTCCATGTGACCCGCGCGATGTCCCCAGAGGTGGAAGGCAGGGCTGGGAAGGAGATGGACCGTCCCTCCAGCCCCCTCAGCACCTCGGTGCCACCACAGGGATGCAGACCTGGGAGGCAGTGGCTGCCATGAGATGGTTTTGAGGAGGTGGGGGGGACACCACATCCGTGGCCATCACAAGGGTGGTCTCCACCTCCTCCCCCT